GGAGATAAAAGGAAACCCATCCACTCCTCGGATAATCAACCTCCAAGAATGTACCAAGTTCACGATCGTACACCTAAAGTTTTCCACATTGCCCTGACAACGTGACTAGGCTGCAAAATCGAGGTCAGAGCAAGGGTGAAACGGCGAAAGGAGACTGCAAGCAAAATGGAAGCCACATTAGTCTGGTCATTAAACTTAGGCTTAATCTAAGATCTCGCCTTAAAAAGACATTACTCAAATGTGGCCGTCTGGCGAAGAAGACGTGTTGAACAGGACAGAATAACTTGTAAATCAAAGAATGAATCGAAGGCCGAGTAAAGGTTTGCGTGAAAACAAGCCAGTTGTGAATGGTACAGATCCCTTCACAACAAGCGGTCTTGAATCTCGGTCCTATTCTTCGATGCGAAAGCGACAAATAGAGCAAGTTTGCCACAGGCCTGATCAAACAGGGAAAGCAAAAGCTTCCACACGAAGGTGAATCTACCATAAAAAGGATGATGCATAGAGTGGGAGAGAGAGAGATAGACACACACACACAGAAGGTTGGTGAGGACGAGTTGTGCAAACGCAAGAAGGTAATCAAGAAACAAGAACTATGCCAACTTAAGCTGGTCTGGTTATCAAAATGTTAGGTATGTTTTAAGTGTTGCAAATGGAAGATGACATTGCTTTCTTATAAATTCTGGAAAATCGTTAAAAACTAGATTCATTCATACCTCGGCGCTTCACCATTCCATACTAGTTACCTGTAATCTACACAAAAAGTAGCGGACTTAGCAAGTAAACTGTTGCTATAACCTGATCAACGGTTCAACCTAAAGTGATATATCGATCTAGCGTAGTGTGAGGGAATGCATCCAGCTTTCGTAACTAGGCTCTTTGTGAATTATTTTATTTAGTTAAACTTTGAAGTAAATACTTCGGCAGCGACGATGCAGGAGATCTGTAGATTTTGTCGGTGTGTATTCGTCGTTTCTTACGACACCGGTACCCACCTCGGCGAACACTCTTTCGTGGTGGTGAAGCCCAACCCGCTTATTGATCGAGATCCAGAAATCTGTACATAAGAAGTGATTTACTAATCCGTTTGAAGAGGTTGCAGGTATGCAAATGTAGAGCTGACACTTTGGCTTCCGATAGAAATCGAGCACCCTCACAGAATTGTTACTCGTCGTAAGGTCTCGTCTGCCGCGGCAAGAATGCGGATCGCAAGTGCTTCTCGAATGTTCGACATTACCGTCAGAACTAGTTCGGAAATTGAAGCGTTCCCGGCGGAGAACGTATAGTGCTCAACATCTCCTCCTCCTCCTCCGTCGGCGAAAAGTGCCAATATTGCTCAGCACCGGTAGAGTTGGACAATATCCCACCAGACCTGAATGGCGAACCTATTGGCTGTTGTGCGCTTAGTCTCTCCTCCACGAAGACGAGACTCGCATGACGACCCGTGAAAAAGTAGACCAAACCAGGTCTGTGAGTCCAGCCTCCAGAATGGACGAAACATTTGACAGATACAGAATATGGCATAAACTAGGATTAACGGAAGAGAGTTGTGATTATTATGAAATTTAGACTTGACTATCAAGTGAAATTAACAGGAAACCGGGACTGAATACGTGAAATCTGGAGAGTAGTCAAGTCACCTTCATAAAAGCCATTGGAAACCAAAGCCGCCAACGAAGCTGGTTCAGGAATAAAGGATTATTATCGATTGCATTGCAATGTAAGTGTTATATATTTGCGGGCAGATGACTTGTCGGTGCCTGGGATGCAAATGGATTAATGGCAAGCTTAAACTATTAAACAAGCACATTTCGTGATTAATTGTTAGGAATGAAAATGAAAGT